ATATATATATATGTGTGTGTGTATACAGGGTGTTTCACAACTTTAGGGCATAACTGCAGGAGGTTATTTCCTAGGTCTTTGTGATCAAAAAAGTTCATATAAACATGTGTCCGATTTTGGACGGTTATGAAGTTATGACCGTTTTTTCATTCCCGTACACGCCCTCGTGTTAACCGCGTCTATCATCTGGCAGGTCACTATTTTTAGCCAGCTACAGACAGAGCGTTCTCATTATCTCGACACTTGAGAGGTACCTAAGGCGTGGTGGGCTGGTATGTAAGGCCACGGCTACTGTGGTGGCTACTGGTGTTTAGAACAGTTCTCATCTCGGTGCATCTGTTATGTTCACAATGCCATTTTCATTTGAGAAGTATGCAGATATGATTTATGTGGGTTTTGTGATGGTAACTCAGTTCTTGCCGTAGCTGAATATCAGCAACAGTTTCCGAACCGTAGAATACCGAACCAGAGAGTGTTTACTGGAGTTTACCAGACATTGTGAGATACCGGTAGACTTCTCGGCGTTCGTATTTCAGCCGAGCGTGGTGTTAATGAAGGCGTCAATGAAGAAGGCATTGTTCATATGGTACACCGCAGTCCACGTACAAGTACGCGAAGAATTGCCAGCCAGGTCTCCAGACTTAAGCCCACTGGATTATTGTGTGTGGGGATAGAAGAAAGAACTGGTTTAAAATGTGAAGGTGGCAACGCGAGATGCTTTGCTCAGTCACATTCTGGACACTGCTGACCACAGAAGAAACAGCCAGCTGAAGCTGCTACGTGCTACCCGCGCGGTTCACAACCAAGCAGCAGCCTGTGTTGCAGCCAGCGGTGGCATTTTCGAAAATCAGCTTTAAGCACCAACCAATTCAAATTAAAGGTAATTTCATGAAGTTAACTTTGCATTCATACTTTAAATGTATCATGTATTATGCTGGTTTATTATTTTGTTCCGTTTATTGTCAGGAATCATTACCTTCTATTCTGAGTTTAAAATGTTCATATCTCCGTAACCGTCCAAAATCGGACACATGTTTATATGAACTTTCTTGATCACAAAGACCCAGGAAATCACTTCCTGCAGTTATGCCCTAAAGTCGTGAAACACCCTGCGTATATATATGTATATTTTAAGGATTTTGTTTCGTCCTACCTTAGTGTTGTCCTGTGTTTATTCGTGGCTTGCTGTGTTGTTTTCACTGTTCTAGAGTGTTCTGTGTCACGTAATTTATACTTCCTGTGTCTGTGAGGTTAATGTGGGCATGTTCTGATGTTGTATTATGAGGTCGAACATGTTACGTTGGCAATTACTTTCTTTTGTGTGTTTTTGTTCTTCTATCAATTTATTGAACTTATTAAAGTGATATATATGGAAGTCCTCTTTTATATTCATGATGCCTCCCTTTTTTGGCTTTTTCAATCACTTCCCTGATAACTATCATCAGCCTGTAATAGACTCTTTCCACTGATCAGGCAATTCTTCCTTATTCTAAATAGAATTAATGAATCTTATGGTTCTTAGAATGTAATATTTCACCTCCTGCTTGAATCAATTCTACCACAATATGGTCTCTACCTGGCAATTTATACCTTTCAAACTTTGCAATAGCAATTTCAACCTCAAAGAAAAATAGGATCAGATACTAACTGCTCAGCTGTATGGATTTCTGTCTGCCTAACATCACTGACCATATGTACATTCAATAACTGAGAGAAGTATTTCTTCTACCTATTCAAAATGTTGTGGGATTCTGCTAGCAGATCACCATTCTCATCCTTCACTAAGTTACTTCTAGGTTGTTAACCCCTGTCAAATTAATGTACACTCAACTCTCGATTATCCGGGATAATGGTGGAGATGGAAATCGCGATTAATCGAAAACCCGGTTAAGACAAATTTTATTCAAAGTAGTACTGTAATACTGTACCTTCATAATACTATAGGCCTACCTGTATTTAAATTTATTCAACCTCATTTTTATGTCATCTCATGGCCTATTTAATACTTTTTTTTACATTACACTGAAGTATGAATTAGTTATTTCAATCACAGTGTTCAACAACATCCAACACTTTTTACGAATATTCACACTTAACACTTAAAAAAATTTAATATTGTCGTTTGCTTTTTCGCGGCATTTTCCTTTTTACGGATATCCGTACGAAGCCTACGTAATATTAGCTTTTCACTTAATAAACTGTTCTCTTCACTCTCAAGATAGTCTAGTAAGGATTCCAAATGGTTAAGAGCAGCACCATGTGATATTTTCTTACTAGCAGCACTGGGTGAGCCCTAAAACTGGTCTGGATGATGTGGCCCTACTGGGACTCCAACTTTGACCCTTCTAGCGTCCAGCCCATAGCCAGTCATTATACTGACTGCACTATATCAGTTCCTCTAATCTCCTGTATGCCCACTAAATATGGCTTATATTTTGATATTTCTTTTGCAGCCTTCATGAGCGAACCTGCCCTATACAGGCTTCTTACATTCCATATACCAGACCTCATGCCCATTTCCTGTAGCTTAGGTCATTTATCCAAAGAATCCATCCAATTCTGAGGCCCGTGTGACATTTTGTAACAAACTTATTTTTCACAGTGAGGTATTGTTGAGTTCAGCTTAATGAGTCCATAATTAATATAGTATAATAGTATGCTAATCACAACCTGCAGTATTTAAATTCAGTATATCCTGCTGCCCTTAGAACAGTTAATTTAAATTAATTTTATTAATGTGAAAAACAGATGGGGACATCTGATTTTACTGTGTTGTGGTGTGTCAATTATGGCAAATTATAAAATGGTGTCTAGTGGGACTCAGACTTGTGTGTAATCTGAGCAAGTTAGCTCAGTTAATAATCCTTCCCACTTATATTTTGGAGGTGCCAAGTTTGAATTTCAGGCAGGACACTGACTATCCTGACTAAGTTTTATTGTGTGTGTGTTTTTTTTTTCCTTCCAAGCAAATGCCAGGATATAACCTTAAATTAGGCCACAACCACTTCCTTCTATAACCTTATTAGCTCATTATTCACTGGCATCCCAATTGACTTAGCAGAGTCCAAGTTAAAATGAAAATCTTGAGTTATATAATACAGGATCCCATTGTTTTAAGTTTGCTATGTTTTTGTGTAATTGAGCATTTTATGTTGCATTGTTGTGGAGACTTGAAGAGCTGGTGCTGGGTGATGGGTCAGATCTGCTAAATGTTGAGTCTGAAATACCATCATCCTCCCATACTTCTGCAATGGAAGACTCAGGTGTGGAGGAAGGAAATTACGATAGTAGTCCACAGATGTCTGATACATTGGCTTCACCAGAGAGAGAACCTGCATGGCAAGATGAAGAAGATATAAACATCTGGTAAATGAATATTTTTTTCTCTAGTTAGTTGTGAAAGAACATTCACATTCTGTGTAATAGAACACTGCATTGTATTTTTAAGTATACCAGTAGATGAAGGCTGACAACACAGCACCTAGATATTTCATACTCTCTGCCACCACCAGCCAGCTTGCACTATATCTGTATTAATATTACTATTTCTGTCACTCCTACCTCCAGCCATATTAGGATGGGCTGATTTTGTACCTGCTACCATTGAACATTATCCCTACTCAGTAAACATAGGAGAAATTTCCAAGAAATTTGGAGCAAGTGGGGGTGGAGGAGTGTTCATAGAAAATCATCTTTACTGTTGGTCTATCTAAAACCATCAACAATAAATCTAAACCAATTCTATATGCAGATGACACTAGTATAATATTTAAGAACTCTAAATTTGAAAACTTTAAAAATGACATAAATATTGTATTTGAAGCCTTAAACAGATGGTTCGAAGCCAATTTACTCTCATTAAATTTTGATAAAACCCATTACATATCATTCACAACTAAAAACAACCACCAAATTGATCTGGACATCAGTTATGCCAACAAATTAATCTGTAAAGTACTTGATACAAAATTCCTTGGAATACATGTAGACAGTACACTGTCTTGGAAAATACATATTGAACAAATTATACCTAAATTAAATGCAGCTTGCTATGCGATGAGATCAATTAAGCCTTTTATGTCACAGGAAACATTGAAGATGGTTTACCATGCCTACTTTCATTCTATTATGAACTATGGATTAATATTTTGGGGGAACTCTTCACATAGTGTAATAATTTTTAAAATACAAAAGAATATAATTAGAATCATTACAGGATGTAGAAGTAGAGATTCATGTAGAGAATTATTTAAGAAATTAAAAATTCTACCTCTTCAATCGCAATACATATTATCGCTTCTCTTATTTGTTGTTTACAACAAAGATAAATTCAAATTAAATTCTGATGTCTATAACATGAATACTAGACAAAAATATAACTTCCACCTACCCTCATCAACTTTATCAGTATATCAAAAAGGAGTCTACTTTACTGGCATAAAAGTGTTCAACAATCTGCCACAAAGTATTAAAAACTTGGGCAATGATACTAAAAAGTTTAAATCAGAGTTAAAGAATTATCTACATGCTCATTCCTTCTACTCTTTAGATGAATACTTCAATGTAAATAGAGAATGATGTAAAATTAAGTTATATTAATTTTTAAGCTAAAATTGCCTGTACTTATGTATGTAACCTTTTGACTTGTTCTGTATCCAAAGGTATTAACCTACTTAGGATTTATAGAATGTAATGTAATTGCTTTATTACATTTAATATCATTAAGGTGTCTTTTTAGGTTGGTTATTTAATGACACTGTCAATATGGAGAAGATATAAAAAAAAGTAAAGGTATTCCTGTAACAAGTCATGGAAGCCCATAGGGTTGTGAGATGTCAAGGCTCCCACATTTTACAGACAGTCAGCTCACAGATGGTGGAAGTAATTTAACATTTGAATGTATCTAATATGCCTTAATTCAGTCCATGGTAGCTTGCTCAAAAGAATTTATGCATGCAGTAAATAAGGATAGGATGCTAATAACAGAATTTTCAGGAACTATAAATGAAATAGGAACGGGTTGACATTATTTAATTAACCTTCTGTTCTTGTTATCATTGATGGATTTAGTGTAACAGATGCAATGTCTGCGCAAGGAAAACGTGTGCCCAATGTATTATCAGGTGGCAGCAGTTCAGATGCATATGTACGTATTCTAAAACACAAGTTTGAGGCAACAGTAGGAACACCTGCATGGGCAGAGCTCAGGCATCGGAACACCAGGAAAAGCAACCCATCAGATGACGATGACAGCGATAATGATTCAGACAGTGAAATGTTGCGGGTAAGTGCTGTCGCTTGTTGAACTATGTGATTCCAATTTAAGGTAATCTCTTTTGCATTAATGTAGAATCCAAATTATAGCGTGAATTTTAGTGCTACTAGGTCAGATTGCAGGGTCAGTATCTGTTCACCACTAGACTAAGCAATTATAATAACTCTGTAGCCGATGTGAGGAACATATGTTGTACTCACTGTCTAATGTGACTCTTCATTTTCCAGTAATCAAACTTACGAACAGTCAGAGGTTATTTTGTAAGCACAAATAAATGAAGTTAAATGCATCACTAATGTGAATGTTTATATCACCATTTGCATATTTTCTTTGTGGTTAGTGTTGCTACACATGTGTGGTCAGGCTGTCATTTCTTGTAATCAGTCCAAATCCTGTGTGTAATCACTAACACATGACAATATACAGGGTGTCCCAAGAAGAAAGGTCTGTATTCTGGGAGGTCATAGTATCAATTCATTCTGAGCAAAGAATTATATATGTATGTGTCCTATTTTGAATGGTTTCCGAGATAGAGCTATTTCACTTTGCAGTCCCAAAATTGTTGATAATAAAGAGATATTACATACGTTTTCCAGTACGAGTATTTGTTGTTTAAGTGACAAAGTTGGTACGGTTTTTCTAGTATAATACATTTTCAAAAATTCCACCATCAGCATCTGTGCACTTTGCAACTCATGTGAGGACTGTACAGTGAAATAGCTCTATCTCAGAAACCATTCAGAATAGGAAACGTGCATATACATTTTTTTCTTAGAATGACCAATGCTGTTACCTCCAAAAATATTGACTTTTCCTTCTGGGACAGTCTGTATATTTGTTTTATAGCACAGCCTAGTACAGACTGGTAACAAATGGGAAAATGAACACCAAGCAGAATGGTGCCTTCTGGGTCACAAAATTATTACAGACATTTGCTGCTGTCAGAAAAGGCAGAATGAGTTAAGCTATACAGCTTTGTGAACTTTATGTACATGTGTGAGAATTGAAATTTTGAGAATGGGGATTATCTTATATTCATGTAAGAAAAGGCAAAGTTGTCCCTGTGCTTAACTAATTAAGCACTATACCATGAAGGCATATGGGGGGGAGTGGATGTATAGATCCACATTTTCTTGACCTCAACACTAGCTGGAGGTGAGTGATCAGCTTCATGCCCCAGCTTCTTTACCCCCGGGGAAAGAGCCCCCCCTGGTACCCATAGGATAAGAGGTTGGGTGGACCCCAGAACCGGTCTGGACAACATGGAGAAGAGAAAATTCTTGACCCTACTGGAACTCAAATTCCGGCCCCTCAGTCATCCAATCTTAGCCAGTCACTATACCAACTATGCTATCCCATGTCCTCTGTAGTCATGTAAAAGTGGTAATTTTGTCTGTAACCCTTTGATGGTGTAATAGAAGTAACATACCCTACATGCATTATAGAGCTGTGGAAACAAATTGCATGTGTTTCAGCACTGTGGCAACTTCCTGTCAAGTCAATCATCAGTTCTTAGGAAGGGAACCATTGAGGTGAAGAGGGTTCGTGACTTGAACCATGACACATACACTGAAGGAGCAGTTATCAAAGCAGTACAATTCCACCCTACTGCCACTGTGGCATTGGTTGCTGGTTTGTCAGGTGTTGCCTCACTCTTTCAAGTGGATGGCAAAAGCAACACCAAGCTTCATTCTGTGCAGTTTGACCGATATCCTATACGATGTGCACGATTTTTACCCAGTGGTGAGCAGTTCATTGTTGGCTCACAGCACCATGGTTTTTTCCACAGCTTTGACATGATGACAGGTCAAAATGTCCGAGCGCTTCCAAGTCAAGGATTAGGCATAACTAATACTAAGGTTATTTTATTTACTTTGTATAATATTAAAAGGAGAGAGAACATGTATTTAGTTGTATACATTTAAAGACCAAACATACAGGTACATGTATGTGAAAACATTTTCACAGACAAATCCATGTTTAAGGTTGTGGTGGGGCTGTGTTTCTCAACCACCACTGAGACATTCTCAGTGCAGATACAGTTATGTATTAGAGCTTTATGTTGTGGTACCCAAATATAACATACAGATTACAGTCACATAACAATAACAGTGGAATTATAAAGAGTAATTACATATAATTCACATTACACTTGATCCTCAACTTATAAATGAGTTATGTTCCAAAGCCCTGTTTGGATGTCAAGTCATTTAGAGGTCACAGAACCCCTAATTACACTTCATATGACCAAGAAATTGCAACACAAAAGTTGGATGTAAAAAGATTAATGCTGCCGCTGAGTGAGTTACGTGTTAACTGCGAGCCTTGAATGGCATCACCCTAAAATAATATTCTGACATGAAAAAGTTGTAATTATCCGTTATGGGAATGTGTTCTTATGCTGTTCATGTGTAGAGATGTTAGTAAGTCAAACATCTGTACTTTGAGGACCATGTGTACTTGTAAAAACATTTTTTAAGGTACATACCCCTGGTTTCAACATTATCAGGTCCCTAATACAGTTATTGAGAACATATATTTATTCTGCATGTTTTAATATTTTGAATGTAAATCTTGCACATCGTGTTAATAGGCAATTATTACTCGTATTATACACCATCATAAAATAGTATGCTATACTATACTTACTTACTCATGGACCTGAGCCCTTCTTGAGGAGCTGCCAATTCTGCGGCTACTCAAGAATTTCCCAGCATTTTATGGAACCCGAAGGTTTATTACCGTCTTCACAAGAGCCCTCCACTGGTCCCTATCCTGAGCCAGATCAATCCAATCTATACCATCCCATTCTATCGCCCTAAGATCGATCTTTCCCGATCCTCGTGTCTCTAGGAGACCTCAGCAAAATTAGGCAAGTTTCCCACCTAAGTAGTTTCCAATGCCTTTGGTAGATGAGGGAAGCATCAGGTACCGAGGGCCAACCTCATTGGCTGAACGGGGCTGATAGCACGCACCAGTACCAGTAGGGTATGGCAACTGGTAGAATATCAAAGGGGGACGTACAATAGACTATTAGTCGCAGTGCATGGGGAAACCCACCCTCTCCAATAATAATAATAATAATTAGATCGATCTTAATATTGTCCACCCACCTACGCCTTGGTCTTCCCAGTGATATCTTTCCTTCTGGCTTTCCCACCAGTATCCTATATGCATTCCTCGTATCCCCAGTCGTGCTACAAGCCCTGCCCATCTCATGCTCCTTGGCTTGATCATTCTAATTATACTTGGATTGGAGAAGAGTACAAGTTATGAAGCTCCTCATTATGCAGTATGCTGTACTATATAGAAACTGTTTACAGTCACTGAAATTATTAGGAAAATCAGAATGGTGACAAATATTATTTTTTAATTATTTTTACTTCTTTTAAGGTATTGTCCCGCAATAGCAGAGCGAGAATCGTGTTAGGTCACGTCATCTGGCTTGCATGTGTCTTTTGTTTGATCAGAGCACCAGTGACCCCCCACCCCATGCTTATTGTTCAGGGACACCCACAGTCTCTTGTGCAGGCACAAGACCCTTCTCAAAGTGTGACATTCATATATATATAAATAGCTGCAGAGCCTCACCAGAGGACAGTCTCAGTTGGGTTCAGTTGCAATGTAGGGTAGGTACGTGTTCATTGTAATGCAGAAGCTAACATGATGCAGTGAGTGCGCTTAGTTATTCAATGCAGTTTGGCAGTGAGTCAGAGAGTTAGAGTAATAGGTCACTTGGCAATCTGTTAAAAATGCAGCAGGCATGAAGTAATGTATACTTTCAGTTCCACAAGAAGAGAGATTATCAAAGAAGAGAGTCCAGTTACTGAACACTGGCATTGCAGTGAAATAAAAAGTGGATAAGGGACTGACAAGTAACTGTTGATGGTGAAACAATAATTGCTCTAAATACAGTAAATCCACACATATCTCTCCAGTTAACTTTGTTTTGTTGTTATGCTGATACTGTTTTTCCTCCAAATCTCCACTAACTCATTATGTCCATGCCAGAGCTTAAGAAAGTGGTCAGATACATAAGTATTTACAGTTGCATTCATATTGTGTATATTTTAATGAATATTAGGAGGGGTGAAGAAACAGAGGAACGTAACCTACATGTTTGTTAAGTTTCTTATGGAAAAATCGATCTGCTTAACATCATTTACATGATCATATCCACAATGATGAACAAGGACTTTGTTTAATGATGAATGTCACAGTATCAGTTATGCCGTTTTGTCAGAGTAATAATCTGTGCTATTGGAGGTTATGTATTCTATTGTGTGGTAACATAGTCTGTTGAGACACTGTGCTGCAAGCCAGAAGGTCACGGGTTGAATTCCTGATGAGGTCGTTGGATTTTTTCACTTGACCTAATCCTTCCGGCCACACTGTGGCCCTGGTGTCAACTCAGCCTGCTACAGAAATGTGTACCAAGAACAGATAAATATCTGTGATTTATTTGTTATGGTAAGAAAATAGTAATTTACAGGATTCATCAGGTATTAACAGTATGGGGCATAATATGTGTTGCTATATCAGCATGATGTATATTGTAGGTATGTTGTATGTAGTGGTGATGTGTATATTAGGTATACTGTGCGTAAAATATCTTTGAGGGTGCTTAAAATCATATATAGGTAATCTGATGAAAGGAAAATGCTGTGTTTTCATTGATGTTTCTTGTGTGACACTGTTAGAGATATTTCTTTATAGTTGCACAAAATAAATAACATTTATATCTGTGAATAATATCTATCCAGATGGTGATGTAGGGTCACAGATGTTTAAGACAGGATGCGTTATATACCGTACTAGTATTGGTTTTAATTATGTTTTATACAGTATAGCCAACCCTTTATGATGGTATATTCACATGTGCAACACTTTCAGAATACATATTAACATGTGTAATGAATATACATTTTTTGTTAATTTATTAAGTGCCTGATGATGTCCAGCAAGCGGGTTGAAACTGTCAATATCTGACTGTAATCTGAATGTTTCATTTCTACAGCTTTTAACCTGGCCAGTGATGAGTATGGTCATCATGGCCAAAGTAACCCTTTTGGCCAGTCGGGCATTTAAACTCTGCTAGTGAAAGCGCGCGCACACGCCGCTATTAGAAGCGCAAACACATTCCTAAATACTTATTTTTAAATGTAGTAATTACCGGACAGACTTGAGTAAAACCATAATAGAGGAATTAAAATGATACCTAAGTGAACAACAGCAAAAAAGAATATACAGTAAAACTTGGTTATAGCAACATCGGTTTCTGCGACACCTTGTCTATTGTGTCAAATATTCAATGGTACGAACTAATTCCTCATAAAGCAACTGTTTTTATACCTTGCTTAGTACGACATGCACAAATGCATCAACCTCGTATGTAACGTCATTTTCATTCCTGAATTTCTCTGATATGGACATTGAACGTAATTTAGAAAGTGTGTATTGGGCAAGTAACAGGAAACAGATGAAGATAACTGATTACTGTACTCGTATCTAGGTACAGTAAGGCACAACAATTGATGTAATCTACTGTAATTTGGTGAGTAGGCCTACCTTTAATATACAGTATTAGTGCGGTGTGTATTGTCAGTGAAAAGCGCTGTAATATGTCTTTGATATTACACATTTGGGCAATTCCACGTTAATGTTACATTAGTCTGTACTTAACTACGTATTTCACTAAAAAATGCAATATTTTAACTCTGTTTTTGGTAGATTTTTACGTGACTAACATAAGGCTACTGTGGAAGTGCCCATTTCAGTTACGACATTCGTTTATAACGACACTATTTTTAGGTCCCTTTGATGACATTATAACCAAGTTCTACTGTACATATGAGTTATGCCCAAATTCATCCACGAGCAAGTACTTTTATTGCAGATTAATATGTTAAAATATATTGTAAAATTCGATGTACATACCTTTTTTGTTGTTATCTTGTTGATATATACATAGGTTGAAATGAAATTTCAATATTCGATTTCACTATGAACACACAGAAAACAGATCATGCTCTGTAGTATCTTAGCCATGATGCAACTGTCTGTTCACAACCATAGAAATGGCAGTAATCCCTTGCAGCTATAACGGAAGGTCTTAGCACTGAAGAAGGGACCCCTCTAGCTTTCTCTTGAATAGCCATCCTTTCATTCCTCTATCCTTTAGTCAAAAGATTTGAAAATCCAAAGAGTGTAAGCAGTGCTAGCCGAAGACCAAATGATTTTATTCCTTCCATCTGTTTTATGACACCAAGGACTGCTAAAATTTGTCAGATGTTATGAACAGAAATAAATTTATAATGCAGAACATCCCTGTGAAGAACTAGGAAACCATTTTTGCAGTACGCATCAAAATTTAAAAAAAAAAAATTGAAAATAGAATGTAACTCTTTGTATAAAAATTTTCAAATCTTCCATTGTAATATGCGACACTATGTTCTTTGCTGATACAAACAAAGTTAATTCCATCCATTTATCATAAAAATTGAGTTAGATACAGCATTTTTAAATTCAATGCTTAAAATTGTTTAAGTGCCCTAACAGGAACAAACATTTAAACGGACAGTAGCAACAGGCTTTTAAAAGCGCACCAGCAGCAGGCATTTAATAAATTCGAGCTACCCCAAGCTTACCACCATTTCATAAGTCCAGCGTTTAAAGGTTAAGGAAAGTTCACAAAAGGTACTGATTGTACTGAGATCTAGTTTGCCCCCTGTTTTATTACCTCACTAAATTGGTTACTGTTTCTTTGTTAAATTGTTGCTGCCTAGATATTTATATTTCGTGCATTTTTTCATTGTAGCTGTTTTTAGTCTTTATGTCATATTTCTGTCTCATTCTCATCATGTATTATTTTCCCTGTGGTATTCCTAATCTGTTTAAATTTTGTATGAACAGAAATGCAATACAAAAATTTATGTAAATGAAAAGCCTAGAGGAGCTTCAAGAGAAATATGATCATAGTTTATGCATGAACATCATCCATGACACATTTGAAGTGCTGTGAGAGTTTGAACTGTATCTTAACATTCTGTCACAAGAAAAAGTTTGGAATGGTGAATTTAAAGCTATAAACTGAGGAAGACTCTTAAAGGGAGCAGTCTAAATTTGATCTGATTGAAAAATGTAACCAAAAGTGCAGGAAAACCTTCTGTTCAGGTTCTGTTCTTATATAACAGTAAGGGGCTAAAGATTTCATTGACAAAGTGGTTAATATGAATGGATGGTGAGAAGTCTGCTGTATATTAAAGAGTTTTATAATTGAAAGAATTTAAGATGATTATGTCATTTTTCAAATTTGGTACTATTCCTTCACAACACAGAATTTTGAAATCTCTCCTGATGGCCGGTTATTGGCTGTGTGTGGAAGATTTGGGAACATCCATCTTCTGACAGTAAATACACTGGAAGGTGTTGGACTCCTGAAAATGAACAGTGAAGTCTCAGCTGTTACTTTTGATAATGATGGATCACGCTTATTTTCACATGGAGGTATAGTATTTTGTTTATCATAGTGAATATGCAGTTTAATTTGAAGCTGTCCAGGACAATGTTTCTTAACCTTTTCCATGCCATTAATGAGATATATCACTATAATATCAGATCTTCATCCCTGAAATTCTTCGGTATATTGACATCGTAAGTGCATCAGCAGCTGTCCTATCATTTCTTGATGTTAAAATAAACATCTGTAGTTTCCACAGCCTTAAGGTGAGTTACCATCGAGGAGAAGTTCTGTACAGATAGGGTTGAAGGCAGGTGATGTGTTCATTCCAGAATGCTTTTGATGAAAGTGCATTATAGTCAATATATAATGTGTAGGACCTTATTCATTCCCTATGTCTGCGGTTCTGAACCAGGGGTATGTGTACCCCCATGGGTGTGCATTAAGCCTGTTGAAATGATTCATGCCTTATATTTAATACATTTTCAGAGTGCTTGAAAGAGTATATAAATTTCTTGGTGACTTTCTTACATACAACTTTTCTCCGCATGGAATAAATAATATTTGTTTAAAATGATAAGGCCTGCGTACCTTATTCTGCTTGTGATACAGTAACACATTCTGTGATTAGGATTAAGTTGCCACAGGAAAAGGATATATGGCATTTCACCCAGAGACCAAGGGATAATTGAATTTTCACCCTAAGAGACTGGTCTGACTTTGCTGAAAAGAAGCTCAGAAACTCTCTCTGGGTTCTCTTCTAAAAATATAGCAATAATGATGATAGTGAACTCAGAATGTTACCTAAAGTAATACCACCTGTATTAGGGAAATATTCAGTTCAAATCATGGCCAGGACATTTACTGCCCTGGCAGGTTTTTCATGATATCCGAAGTTCCTCCAGGCAGATGCAATGAAAGCTTCTGTATCCTTTCCAGTGCACTATCATTGTAGCAGTTGATGCTGTGTACTCTGAACTACAGACAGCATGTTCACAGCAGCAACAACAATAATAATTCAGTTCTTTATTTTTAATGTGCTAACTCAGCAGCTACAGTAGCCAGTCACAAAGTCAATAAATGATGATGATGAACCTTTATAATGGGTAAAGGTAAAGCTATCCATGTAACAGGCTATGTAGACCCATTGGGTTGTGAAATGTCAAGACTCCCACATTTTCTATACAACCAGCTCGGCTCACAGATGGCGGTGAGGTTGTCGGCCTTACGCGCCAGCCACCTTTTACCCCCCACAAAGATTCCTGGTACTCATTTCTGTTGGAGGCTGTGTTGACCCCAGGGCCATAGTATGGCTGGAAGCATTAAATCAATTGAAAAATTGTGAATCAAACCTGTGTGTACCATAGGTAGCGTCCAGGATATTAAATCTAGAATGTTACACAGCTGATGTTTCTGTAAGGTTTCTGGAAATGTTCCATACCTTCAGATTTTCAGTAGACTGGTAGCATATATTTTCATTTCACTTATGTTTGTTTCTTGTGGAAGAAGTAAAGTATGATTCTCTAAAAGTGAATGGCTGTGGTTGATTCATTAGACTGGAATTATGTTTGACACTGTCTGTTGTCTATTGTATATTTCATATACATATATGACATTCCAGAAATTGGCACTTATGCTGTCTTTAGGCAGTTGGTTATCTGATTCTTTTTAATGCTCTTGTGTCCGTGTTTTGGTTACAGAACTTTAATAGTCACAGGGTTCCAGAGCCAATCCCAATAGCTGCCATTAATATAAAAAGTATGAAATACCATTAAGAAAATTAAATTCTTTCTACTGCCAAGCTGTTATTTGAGAATAATTATTATGTTTATTAGAGTCATGTAAGACAGTTTATGCTGTCCAATATAAATTTGTAATTGCAGTGCAAAAAAACGATTCAAATTTTATGACCTGTGAAGCATGTGATATTTTTTTGTTACCATAGAGGGCGGAGAGGTGTATGTTTGGGACATCAGAAGCAGACACTGTTCAGGGCGATTTATTGATGATGGATGTATATGGGGTAGCAGCATAGCTGTGGCACCTGGTGGTCGATTCGTGGCATGTGGTGCTCGTTCAGGTGTTGTGAATGTGTATGAGACAGCAGGACTTCTGTCATCTACAAACCATGCACCAAAACCAGCCAAAATATTACTGAACCTCACTACCTCTTCCACAGCAGTCAAGTTCAATGCTTCTTCTGAGGTTCTGGCCATGGCCTCTGATGAAAAAGTTAATGCATTGAGATTGGTGAGTTCTCAGAATGGACTAAATAGTGAGATATTCATTTTATTCTGGGGTATTGTGTTTGAGGCATACACTTGAGCATTGGAAATGCACTGCATATCATGTGTTTATTGCACAAACTCATAAAATGAATGTGAGATGCAGAATTCATGTTCATTTATTCACATGTTTCCTCCATTCTATACAATTCAACCTTGATATAATGGGCATTTATAAAATTGGTAAAACAGATTATTTTAATTGTTACTCATAATATATGAAAATGATTGAAATGTGTCATATACAACTCCCTGCTCCAACTTCATATTACATGTACATGTATCACAATATGGCTGCAAGGTGTAAAGAAGTTAAGGATAGTCTGGCAATATTTGTTCTTTTCTCAAAATCATTTGAAGAGCATATTGCAGCTCTTCATGTTAATTACTTTGTCACTGGTCTTCTGTTACACAGAACAGCTAATCATATTTTGTCTTATTCTTAAAAATGGTGAACATTTTCATCAAAGTCAATGCATAAGGTCTTCCTACCATACAGTTTCACTGTTTAATGAACTACCAACTTCAAAAAGCTGTATTACTTCAGGCTTCATATTCAAAACTAGGTGATTCCATTTTGTTACCATAATTAAGATTGTACCCTTTTGAACTTAAACAACACAAAGTACAAGCATAGAAAAATGTTCAGTAACCAAGTGACACAACACACAAAGAAGCTGTTAGCCTGAGGAGGAAGTTCAGATGGTATCACATGCTCAGCATTTCTTATTACAAAAATTTGGTTGGACTTGACCTTAAAGCGATCAGATCGTACTAAATGTGGTCCAAAAAATATCATCACCTACTGTCATTGTGCAGCATTTTGAAGAGTCAAATGCTTTTCAGCTGTGTGTTAGAATGCTTCTGCACATGCCCATTAACCCTTTTACCTCACGGTTGAGTAAAGTACCATGAAAATTCTCCAAGAAGACCACCAACCATTCTAGCCATAAGTGATCTTTTATGGGGGTTGTCTCTAATAGTAGGTGGATGTATAGGAATTTGGGTAGTATAGTACAGTAAACACCATACATGTGCATTACATAATAGCTATATTGCACGAGTGTACTGCCCTTAATATTGCTTTACATGAAAAGATGCAGTATGTAATTTCAGTGAAGTGTTAATAATTAAATAAAAACATACATAGACATGCACGAGGGTTGGCACTTTAATAGTGGCAACTATTTATTTACAAGTGATACAAAGTAGATGCACATTTCGAAGTTTTACTGTCCTTCATTGTAGTCACCAGCATTGGGTACAACCCGTTGCCAGTGATGTGGAAGTCGTAGGATACCTTTAGCAGCGCCTGTTGTGTTGATAGTTCAGATGGAGCGGTCTACTGCCTGAAGAATCTCTGGAACAGTTCTGAAGCGAATGCCACGAAGTGGTTCCTTCATCTTAGGAATCAAGTTCAAGTCACAAGGGCTTAAGTTCGAGGAGTATGGTGGATGGTACATCACTTGCAGCACCATCAGTCAAACAAATCAGCCACAGATTGCGCTGCATGCGGCCGAGCATTGTCCTGCAAAATGATGGGTGGGTTCTGCAGAAAGTGTCGCCGCTTCTTTCTCAAAGCTGGTCGCAGAATGTGTTCCAAAAATGAACAGTAATACTGCTCATTGACGATATGCTGTCGGGGAACGGTATGCGTTAGGATAACACCATCACAGTTGTACACGAGTATCACAATGACTTTAACATTGCTGGGGTTCTGACGAACTTTTGATATTCATGGTGACCTGTAATTATGCCATTCGTTCAATTGGCTTTTCATTTGTGGCTCGTACGATTTGGCCCGTGTCTCATCCAGCTTAATGATATGGCATAAGAAAGCTTCTCCTTCGCACTCATAGCGCTCCAAGTGGTTACAAGCAGCATCATATCATAGCCATTTCTGCATTTCCGTCAAATCATGCGGAACCCATCGTGATGCAGTTTTTCTCATGCCCAGGTGTTCCTTCAGAATGTGAAGCACAGTTGTATGCCCTAATCCTGTCTCTCGGGCCAGCTCACGAATCATATGGCGTCGATCACTCTGCAGTAACGCGGAAAGAGCACACACTTCTTCTTCACTGACGCTAGGACAACCTGGCCAACGCATGTCTGCCACATTTTGGCGTCCCTCGTTGAAGGCTTTTACCCACCTTGCCACTGTTCTGTAAGGCAATGCAGATTCCCCGCAAGCCTCTTGAAGACCTTGATGACACTGCCATGCTGTACGGCCTCTGGCACATTCAATCTTTATCCAACTCTGTTGTTCCTGTTTCGAAAACATCGTGACAACACTACATTAGACCTCCAGCTAACACGAGGCTCTGTTCTTGTCGTTACTGCGCGTGCGTGTGATGTGGGAAGGGAGAGTCCGTTTGCTCTGAGGTAAGGTAGGTATGTAACTAATGTGTGGTATAAGCGACATTATTTGGTTCCGTTGCATGGCTTCTCTACAGCAGTGTTGCCGCTATTAAAGTTCTAACCCTCGTACATATGCAATACATACATTACCCTACCGATCTTTTGGCTTTAAAAGTGAATCTGATATGATATGGGTTACAGTTTTAAGTGTGTTTTTTACATATATGTTCTCAACTTTATCCTGCAACTTGTTAAATAAAGATGCTGAATAATTTCTTAACAAACCAGTTGAAGTCTTCACACATTCTGGTGTGAATAACTTCTACTAAGCAGTCATGAGTGGTTAGTCGCTGGCTTCCCACTGCACTGGCCCGGGTTCAGTCCCGGGTCTGGTCAAGTGGGATTTGTGGTGGACAAAGTGGCGCTGGGGCAGGTTTTCTCCAAGTACTTCAGTTTCCCCTGCCAATCTTCATTCCACCAATTGCTCCACAATCACCCTCACCTACCATCTGGGGCTGGTACAATAAGCCAGAAGTGGCCACAATACAAAGGACTTAGTCCCACCCCACTAGCAATAAAAAAAAAAAAGTAGACATGAGCAGTGGGGAATTTCTTATTGCCCTCTTCCTCATCCTGATCAGGCTCACTGGAATCAACTAGGAGAGAACAACCACATTATAAAATGCCAAAATAATTGCAATCTTCATTAAACAATATTGTCATTATGTTACCCTCATTATCAGGTATGCAGTCTGCATTGTTCTTCACAACACTGGTGAAACCCGAGGCCAAGAATGGGAATCACCATTGTGAGATGGTCTGTTTAGAGAGGGGATTTGGTAAAGACCAGGCACAATCAGTGGTCAGCGATAATGTTGGTCTCTGAATAGGGGGTTGCATTAGACTAAAATGGAAGAAAACACAATCCCTACCACAGAAACATGGCCTTTAGAGAAGTCTCACTGTATTTATATGGACATGCAGTACTCACACATAGATAATTACATGGATTTTCCTCTCATAGACAAGGCAGAGGTTCTGTTGTTGGATTAATGGTATCTTTACTACTGGCAGCTATAAACAGCTTTGGAAACAAAACATTAATAGAAATAAGTCACAGATAGTTAGAAACCACTCATAATTATGAAAGTGCCAGTATAAGTCCACATTTTATGTGAGCTTTTTCATATGTGTTATGTTACAAAATTAAAGATTCCAGTGATTTTTCACACTGAAATAAAGATATTATGATATATACTTATCCTTTTGCAATTACATGGTAAATTATATGAAAATTTACTGACTTGTTAATTTTCCATTGATAAATTGTTTATCAGTTCATCATTATGAGTGTTTCTCTCCTTTGTCTGTTTAGAATATTGTTAGAGCTTCATTCTGTTAGACATGTGTAAGTGTTCTGTAGGGAACAAGGTCATGTGAGATGACTGTGTTGCTTTCAGGTACATTTCCCTAGCATGACTGTTTTTTCCAACTTCCCGGGCTCAGTGAAATCTGTCCTTGCACGACCTCAATGCCTTGACTTCTCCCCTGGCAGTGGTTACCTTGCTGTTGGAAATAATAAGGGTACAGCTCTGCTCTACAGGTAAGGATTGTATTTAAATGTGAATCTAAGGGGACTTGATATGAAAATGTTACAGGTTTGCCTCTCTGAACTGTGACATATTAATGTTCAGCTGTCAGTTTGACCAAATTAACCCATTTGTATAAGAACCCAGAACGTCACTAATCATAGATCCTATCACTGGACACAATTGTGAGCCTGTTCACTTCTGTGTGTTCCCAAAATGATTTTGTTAAATACGGTGTTAATATATTAGTTTTTGTGTACCTAGGATTGTGTTCTTTTTGGTTTATTTTCGCATTGTCACTCCCATTTTAATATTATTCATGCATCAATATTTCAATTCCCAAGTTCACTCTTTTCATCAAATTTTTTATTGTATCCTCTTTTTCTGCATAGTCTGATTCTGTCCATCTCATCCTTCTTGATTTAATCACCATAACCTCAGTGTTACAAGAATTCATAAAATTAATAAAAGTGGTCATTTAAAAGGTAATCATGACTTCCCAAAACTGTTAAACTATACAGTCCTGAAGTGAGTCTTCTAATTACATATGTCATCTTCTTCCTCTGGCTCTGCAGCCCTTCTAATTTAGCCTTAACCTCCCTAATTACATATATCAGACAGATTTAGCATTACCTGAATTGAGAATTTAAAGATTTTACCCTACTTGCATAACTTTCTGTACTTACAACTGACTGCTTAAGCAGAAGTCCCACCCACATTTGCTGTGCACCTGCAGTGTATGAAAGCATTACATGTTGAACTGATGTTGTATTTTAGCATCCTGTTGCACTGATTCATATTTGTAATGTTGTATGTATTAACAGTCTTCAAGTGCACACAATCCCATTTACCACCTCTACACTACGTGTTTCGGCAGTATGCTGCCATCTTCAGGTGTATCGATCCGTTAACCATTTCACTGCTTGCCTTTATACGTCCACTTACAAATAATATTAAATTATTATTATTATATAAGGAGATATACAAATTTAATATTATTTGTAAGTGGACATATAAAGGCAAGCAGTGAAATGGTTGACGGATCGATACACCTGAAGATGGCAGCATACTGCCGAAACATGTAGTGTAGAGGTGGTAAATGGGATTGTGTGCACTTGAAGACTGTTAATACATACAACATTATGAATGCTGAACTGACTTATGTAAAAAAAAAAAAAAAGTAAAGGTATCCCCTTAACAGGCCATGGAGGCCCACAGGTTTGTGAGACATCGAGGCTCCCACATTTTCTCTAGACGGTCGGCTCTGAAATGGCAGTAAGGTTGTCAGCCTTATGCACCGGCCACCCTTTTCCCCCGGAATATTCCTGGTACTCATTTCTATTACGAGGCTGGGTCAGTCCCAGGGCCATAGTGCACCTGGAAGGATTAGGTCAATTCATAGAATCCACCTCATTGGGATTCAATCCTGCGACCTTCCTGCTTGTAGCATAGTGCTTCACTGTACATATTCTGTGTTAAGAGCTGGTATTGACTACAGCCAATCTGCTTAGCACTGTATACTAATGCTCTTCCTAGCTGTGAAACAGTAAAGCCACACTTGGGACACTGAGAGTTCTAGGAGTGCAATGAAATGGCTGGTATTGTCATTATCATTGGTCCATTGGCCAGTATGCCAGCCAGTTTCTCCTAAAAGCACTCAAGCTGCATGCAGTACACGTCTTCATTCTCTGCAGTCCACATTTGTTGCTGTGTCGCTTGTCTTCCATGACAGACCAGCTAATAGTATTTTGTCTTTGTTATTTAAAATGATGAACACTGTTGAAGTCAATCCATCCTGTCTTTCTGTTTTTCCCTTAACAGGTTACCAACTTCTCAGAAACATATTTCCTGAAGATTCATGTTCAGCTCTAAGCTCTTCTGTTTTATTACCAATTACAGTTGAGCACTTTAAATTTAACAGCACACAGTACAATGACAGAAATGTTTCCAACTTAACCTAGCAAGACAATAACAGTCGACTGACACAATATATAAAAAGTTACTGGATTGAAGGGAAGTTCTGATCATGTCACATGATAGATATTTTTCACTGGTCAAAATTTGAAGGAGGTTAGATCTTTAAGCCATCAAGTCATTCTAAAACAGTGTCCATTACTGCAACCATGCAACATTTTGAGGAGTTGGACAGTGTTTTTTGATTCTGTACTGTAATGACTTCTGCCTCAAGATCAGATAACTTCCATGCTTGATAGCTGACTGTAGGCTTTCTTTTTGTAGATAAGGGAAAGGCATAGAAGGTGTGTAACTGGTACCTTTGGTTACTAATAGCTTTGAAAGTGAAGTTGCATGTACAGTCAGTGCAGAAAATTATAAAAGTCACACATGTTATGACAAAAGCACGGGATAAAGTTGCCATTTTATGTGAGATTTTTGCACGTAGGTAAAGATAAGAAATTGATGGTACCAATGATTCTTGTCACTAAATTGAAGCTCTTGTTATGAGCCATATTCTTTCTGTCACAGTCACACTGTATTAAGGTGCGTCCACGTTACTCATGCTCGTGCGTCAGAAGCTTACTGCTGCCGGAAAATCAGGATCTGGAGCTGACGAAGTGGACACCCAAACTGGTTTGCTTACAAAGCCTTCACATTTCTTCACAACAGATATCAGCTACAGATCCTGATTTTCCAGCAGCATTAAGCTTCCGACGCACGAGCACGAGTAATATGGACGCACCTTAAGATGGAGAAAAAATCCTCAGCATATATCTTTCCCCATTTCCCAGTTTTTATTTATAATTAATTGTGAATGAACCCCAATTACAAATGAATTCTGAATTCCATCTAAGGTCAGCATAGTATGCATGTATATGTGCTAAAATGTTAGTATAAGAAGACTCTTGCACAATGATCATCAGCTGAGATTTCCACCAGGGTGAACTGTCTTATAACACAGCCTCCTCCAGTCTTCCCCATCCCCCCATAAGTCCTCTTGTATCTGTGCCTTCACTCTGTGTACACTGTTTTATGTTTCTTTCTTACTCTGTTTCTTTTTGGTCTGTACAGTAGTCATTTGCCATCTTAATTGTTTATGTTTTTAAGGAATCTTGTTCATTCATAGAATATGTCCATAACACTGTGTCCTTAATTTCACCAGTTTTTGTGGTGGTGTTCAGATATTGTCTAATGTCTTAGCTTTTCAGAATCTTATTTATCATATAGAATTGTTGCTGTGTTATGCAGGTCAATGGATGACAGTCTTCAGTCCCTTCTGTCTTCCCATAATCTTCCTTTTTGATTTCTTGCCCACTCTTTCTTCTCATTATGCTGTTTTCCAGTGTCTGGGTAAACTCTCATGTTCTGGGTTTGCCCAGATGTCTCTTTCCATTACCTTCTAATTCTAATGCCCTTCTCACTATTCTTGATGTAGCAATTTCTTTTACATGAACAAAGCATTGTAATTGTTCCGCATCTAACTCTGTTAACATCTGAACTTCTCCGCCTTCGAGATTTTCATTTCTAACGCTATCCCATGTTGTTTTTCCCTCAGTACTGGTCACAGATTTCATATCGATTGCTTGAATTTTGCTGTTGCCATTGTTTCAGTATTATGTTATTGCTGGTTCACTGTGTACCTTATATGAGATGGTATCAGAAAGTTCCCAGACTGTTATTGTTGTAACTGCTCCGTGAAAGATGAGAGGGGAGGCCAAGGTCACTTCTGCAAACCTGTTGCATCATTCTGCCACATGACACCATGCTGTGAACACACATTGTTTTTACTTTGTATTGCATTTTGTCTGTGATGGATGCAAAAGTGAACAGTGTGTCTGCATCAGGTTTTTTTGTGAAACTCAGTAAATCCGCTACCAAAACCCTTGAAATGCTTCATGAGGCATTTGGAGAACATTCTTTAAGCCAGAAAACGATTTTTGAATGGCATTCACATTTCAAGGCCAGTGGAATATAAGTTGAAGATGACAAATGATCAGGGTGACCAAGCACCAGCAAAACAACAGAAAATATTGAAAACATTTGAGAACTCATCAATGAAGACCATCATTGAACAATCCATGAGCTCACAGACACTCTTGGGATCAGTTATGGAGTTTGCCAGATCGTAACAGAATATTTGAACACACACCACATTGCTCCGTCATCACAAAAACGCACGTTCCAACACATCCCTGAAAACCACAGAGTTTGTGATTAACAACAACATGGTTATCATTCCTCATTCTCTCTACTCACCAGGCTTAGCCCCATGTGATTTCAGTTTGTTTCCCAAATTGAAAATGAAACTAAAGGGATGACATTTTGAAACAGTGTCTGACATCCAAAGGGAATCACAAGCTGTACTCAACAGCATTAAGGAAAATGACTTCCATGGTGCTTTTGAAGCATGGAAAAAATAATGGGATCTCTGTATATGTTCCAAATGAGACTGTTTTGAAGGAGAAGGCAGCCAAAATTGAGTAAGTTAAGCCATTTATTTTTTGACCTAGTCCGGGAACTTTCCGACAGCACCTCGTAGATTACTTTGGGAATCTCTGTTCCAAAATGTTCCTTATGTAATATGGTAAAATATAGAACTAATTTGTAATCCTTCTCTTGATCTCTCCAGTGATTTTCCCGTCTGAAATAATTTTGCTTCCCAAGTAAATAAACTTTCCCACCTCTGTAATAATTGTGCCTACTAACGTTTATGTCAAGGTTCATTGAAAATTACATGGTCACTATGTTGTCTATATTCATTTTCAGTCTATATTCTTTTATAATTAGATGTCCTTGATATAGTTTCTCTTCAATCCCTTTTCATCTTTCCCCCCACATCAACACATAAACATAAATTGAAGTTTCCTGAATTTGATGTATTGAAATTTCATCTTACTTGAGTAAAATTATGTACCAAATGTGTATATTTGTCATTTCAGGTTAAAACATTATGGCAATTACTAGGTTCCATTACAGAAGAATAGTTGTGTAGACAAAATGTAAACACCTGGAATACTGACCCTGTACGGAGATGCGTGCACTGATGTGAACATTCCATCATATTACTTATTCCTGTCAGTCCAATTCAAGGAACAGTCATGCAGGTATCTTTGGAATTTGTGGCTGCACTTCTATAGTGGCCCATGACCTACAGCCAAACTGGCCAATATTGAAGATTTTGCTTCATGAAATTTTGACACCTGATTAAAAGTACACTGTAACTTTGAGATAATGAGTATTTATAAAATTCATAAAAATACTCATTCTAACAGATACCCATAATAATAAAAAAATGGTTGAACTGAATAATCTCCAAGCATGTCTAACTTATAATTACATAAATCACAGTGTGGCTGTAAGTTTTGAAAGAAACTGATGCAGGGATAGTAATACTGTGTCTATCTTTTTTTAATGTTACAGTCATGGGATATGAAAATAAAGACAAATTATTCAACATTCCTAATATCTTTATCATTTCTGAACCGAAAAGTTAAAGACTTTCTTATATGTACATAACTTTCTGCCACTTGCAACTGACTGTTTATTAGGAGCTGTGTCCTTAGAAGCAAAGTCCCACATACTATTTGCTGCATACACACAAAGCAGGGTGAAGAAATTAAGGTTAAACTGACATTACATATGTATGCTCACTACATTATGGACTGGTTCTAAATGCAGATGTGTGACATGACTTCTCTTGCTTTGAGACAGGGAATCCTCATTTCAGAATAATGAAACTTCCCAGTCTTTTTAAGTGTGCCACAAAATGTTTAGCTTCTGCCTTGTTCATTGTTCAGTCAATTGGTGTGGCAACTGATGTTTCTTGACCAAACCATTCAAAGGTGCAGATTCCAAATCTTCATTGTCTGTGTGGTGCATTTGCATCTGTGTCACTGGTCTTCGGTCATTTACAGCTAACTGTATTTTTCTTTCTTCAAAATGCTTAACAGTGTCCACAGTCAGTCCACATTACACTTGTGTTTCATTCAGACATACATCGGGCTCCATACGTTTGTTGTCGCATGTTGCCTATGCAGCACAACAAATAACTTCATGTGGGTCTCGGATTTGGCAAACATGTTTATTACCCACACTCATAGTCACGAGTACAATTATTATCCACTTATAACGTCGCCAGTATCACAATTTTCAGTCTTCAGTCTTCAACTGCATTCTGCGGCGGCTATATTTCAGCTGTACTCAACAGTGGCTATCTTCCAACCCTCCCAACCTTGGCTTCTGCGGCGGCTATCTTCCGACTCTCTCTGGGGGGTATCCAACTCATTCACATGGGTCTATCCAATTCTGTCTGTCTGGTACATTCAGCCCCGTTATATAGGTGTTCAAACTGCTTAGTGAACACCATCTTCAACAGTTCAGTTTCACGTGTTCTGTGCTCGTTACCATGGAAGTGGTTCATTTCTAAAGTTTCAATAATCTGCTGTTATTGCAACAAACCTTCTATTGTCCTTTCATCTGGGGAAACGTGTTTGTTCCTCAGGGCATTCCCAGGCAATGGCCGACTGGTATTGCCACCATAATTAGAGATAAGCTTTTAACTTAACTTGCAAGAAAACCCACAGAAAAATTCTCAACTCCTCTTTAGCCAAGCAACAGAATACACAATGAAACAAGGTAATGTACTGAAGAGAAACGCATTTCTCATGAGCAAATATGTGAAGAAGATTTGAACTTGATGCCATAAATTCATACTAAATATGATCGTAAAAACAATGTCTGTTACTGCAACTGTATAAAATTTTGTGGAGTCAGACATTGTTTTTGATCACACGTTGAGACAGTTTGCATCCACACTGTAATTCTTTATAATATCAAGTAAATTCTGTATTCACACACACAGTACTAAAATTCCAGACTGTGAACTTCTTTTCCTAGAAAAGGAGGATGTCCAGAGAATTGGTTAATGATACCTTTACAGACCATCGTCTGTAAATACAAGGTGGTTCAAATATGGCCGGGACTATTTGTGTGTAAACAAGCCACACTGCGCAGCAGCTGTGCGACCTTGAGAGAGTGACGTCACAACCTCCACCCTTTCTCTTTTTTGGGTTAGAACATGTTCAGTCCTGTCTGGGAGTTGCTAGAGTGATGAGCGAACAGAAGGTACCGCGGAGCGTGGAACAATGCATTGTGATCATATTCCCTGTTGAAGGAAACGTCCCATCCACTGAAATTCACCACAGACTCCAACAACAGTATGGGGAAGAGTGTCTCTCACGGACCCGTGCGTTTGGATGCTGTAAGTGCTTCAGAGAGGGCAGAGAGCATGTGGAGATTAAACCGCATGATCATTGGCCGCGAACATCCGTCACCGAGCCAAACATTGATCGTGCAGATGTGCTTATTCATGAGAATAGGCGCATGGCTATGAAGGTACTTGGAGCAATGCTGTCCATCAGTGTTGGTAGTTTGGAAGACATCGTGAAATACCACCTGCACTATCACAAGGTGAATGCATGGTGGGTACCACGCACTTGCTCACGCAAGCTGCCAGTTGTCTCCTACAGCAATTTGAAGATGAAGATGATGCATTTTTGAAGTCTATAGTGACCACCGATGGAACGTGGGTGCACTACTTCATTCCCGAGTCCCAGCAATCATCAAGCGAATGGCCGCATACCAGTTCTCCCAAACCCAAGAGAGCGCGGAGGAGCCATTCGGCAGGAAAAGTGATGGCAATGTTCTTCTGGGACTGGCAGGGCGTTATCCATGTAGACTTTCTGACAGATGCCAAAACTGTCAGTGCAGCTTATTACTCAGACCTCCTGGCAACAGACATGAAGGAAAAGATCCAATCCAAGCGGAAGACAGGTGGAAAGCGGGTAGCCTTCCTTCAAGACTGTGCATGCCCCCATACGGCCAAAACAGCAATGGAAACCCTCTGGAAATTGAAATGGAACCGTATGACACATCCGCTGTACAGTCCCGATTTGGCCCCAAGTGGTTTCTACCTGTTCAGAAGGCTCAAATCAGACTTGCAAGGCATGCGGTTTGTGGACAACGATGCTGTCATCCAGACTGTTCGAGAGTGGATACACCACCAACCACAAGCCTTTTTTGAAAAGGGCATCAGGATGCTTCCAGAACGTTGGAAAAAATGTGTTGACTCTGGAGGGAAGTACGTTGAAGACTGACATGTGCAAGTAAGTGTTTGGCGATTATGGTTTTTAAAAAAAAAATCAGTCCCAGTCATATTTCAACCACCTTGTAGCTTGGGAAGCAGAACTGTAAGTACAGTCAGGACATAAAGTTGTAGCCAGTTTGGAATCACTCATGGCGAAAATGCTGATATAAAGGCCTTATTTTATGTGGGGTATAACTATCCATGTATGTAATGTTAACAAAGTCGTAGTTCCTATGATTTTCCTTGTTATAATGGAGTTCTGATTGTGAACCATTCTCATTCTACCATTGTTACATTGTAATACATCGAGTTATGACTCACAGCTGAAGTCTTATCAGTATTAATTTTTTAGAGACTTTGGTAAAGAGGATGATTCCAGTACATCCATTATCATCTTGTAATGTCTGGCACACCACAATCATTTTCTTCTTGAGCCTCCCCTTTCCTTTTACTAAAGTTGCAGGAACAAATGTAAGGGAAAGGTGGAAAGTTAAAGCTAGTAATTACAGCCTCATTACACTAAACTTCTAACATTACTTCAATGTTCTAATTTTAGTACTGTACACAATTTATAATTACTGTATGTGAGGTTAGTAAGTTCAGATATTCAGATATGTGTCACTTAACCTTAACCTTTAACAGACGAATGGCACATATATAGGTCGCAAACAGGAACCGGAGTTGGCCGAATGACCTGTGTACCCGTCGCAGGACACATTCTCTCATTGGGAGTGCTGGCAGTTTGACCTTGGATTGAAAACCAAAACAAACCTACGTGAGGTCATGTCAGTGGTTCATTTCTTAGCTCTGAACAAAGAAATCGTTTATCACGGTACTGGTTTCAAAACTATTTACATTTAGATATGACTGTTTATGACCTGCTCAGCCAAATAATGCCCAGCTTTGTTTCGAGAACTGATGAGGAAATATTTATCAGTGCTTGCATATGAGCACTTGCAGAGCCTTCAAGGAAGTCTGACGCATGCAAGGATTGGTTTTCAGTGGCGAATTATCAGTCAGGAAGTCAGTGTCAGACTCTCATATATTTCTTTATATATCATTTTTATTTTGCATCTTGGAAGAGGTCTAAATCCCCTGAGCTAGTATTACTTTGTGAGTAAAAGGCATCTTCGCAACTGCGACTTTCAGTATGTGTCAGACTGGCACTCTTTTTTGACTGGTATTATAATTACTTTGCATCACTATTTTGCGAATATTACCAACAGGTGAAAGTGTCGCATTGTCAGTCAACATAATTTATTCGATTTTGCTAGAAACCCCCCTCCCCCAAGATCATTCTTCAGTCGCACAAGCCGAATATCACGGTCAGTGGCGTTTCTTGGGGGAAGGCCAAATTTATCACGAGGCCCAACTGATTTGACTGGAGTTGAAAAAGCCATAACACTGGCCAACCAAAGGGAAACAAAGACGTCGTGTGTTTCGTTAAATAAGAAAAGCAGGAGCACCCTCTTCTATTGTAAAAAGTGTGATTTTGCTGTGTGAAGTGGACTGTTTCGAGAAGTGCCATGCATGTCAGTGTGACTATCATAGTGAAGTGACACAGTTCAAACTCGCCTACAGTAATATTATTGTATATAGAGTGATTATATTTACAATATCACCAAGTCTCAAAGCTGAATATCACAAGGCGAATATCACGGTCAGTGCCGTTTCTCGGGGGAGGCCAAGGTTACCTGGGACCCAACTGAGTCGACTGGAGGTGAAACATTCACAACACTGGCAAACCAAAGGGAAACTAAGACTTATTTGTTCTCAAAATAAGAAGCTCAGAAGCACGCTCTACCACGGTAAAAAGTGAGACGTTGCGCTATGTTTGTTTGGCTGCTTTGAGACGTGAGTTGCGCTATGCGTGTTGGGCTGCTTCGAGACGTTGCACACGCGTCAGGGTGTGAGTTATCGTAAACTGTGAAGTGACGCAGTTCAAACTCACATACAGTCTGAACAAAATATTATTTATATAGTGTGATTATATTTACAATATCACCATGATTCAAGGCTGAAGAAAAAACAACGGGTAAGTCCTTTGGAATTTCATGACATATATAATAAAGATTATATTTTGCAATTCATGACAAAATAATCACAGTTAATTTTCATTTGTAAAAATTGCTCTTCTGTGTACATGTAGAAAAATTTATTGTCTTCCAGGTTGTTTTTAGTTTTTATTTCTATGTTGCATAGAACGGGAAATATGGATTTTTTTCTGGCGGTCTGCAAATTTAATTAATCAGGGTGATTTAAATAACGGCCGCAGGGGGCTCCCAGCAATTTAAAAGTCCATATGTTAAAGGTT